CTTGATATTTCGTAGGAAATAAGGATCCACAGGAGCCACAGGAACACCGTCAAGTAAGTATGGTGTTTGGTAATAGGGGAAGAATGCTTTTGCTAGACAGAGGCTTTTTATTTCTGTTACACATGTAGGGAAGCACGGAGCTCGTTCGATCTGTAACAGTGAATCCGTAAAGATCCTAAAAATCGCTAAATAATAATCGTGTCATGACATATAGCCCTGCGTCTATAGTCAACAGTGGCATTTCGCACTCGGCTTGGGGGGGGGGACATTGACATTTCTCGCTTCTTTTGCTAGCTCCTGTTTGGATTGCACGATTCACTTACGAACACTGTAGGCTCTCGTCAAGCGTAAGGGAGGCTCCTGCTATTGCATAGCCTCGCAGGAATTTACAGGTCCACGCAGGAGGAATAGGAAGTGAGTGAAGGGAACATGCAAAATGCCCCCACCAAGCCAAACTGCGCCGCTATCTGTAATTGCATGGGCAGCAGCAGATTTGCCAAATAAGAGAAGCAAACGACTAGTCTGAAGACGCATTCCACGGAAAGCCAGTGGGCGGAGAAACGCAATGATTTGCCTCTCTCGGTGGGTTTTTCTCCCAATGCAGTTTTGGCTCGACTCTACAGCCGTTTCACCGCCCATCCAACATTTGCGGAACACGTCCATAAGATTTCCATCCACTCTGATCGACAAACCTTTTGTCCTTCCCAGTAGAAACACCATGGACCGAATCGATGATTGTCTGGATTTCTACAGTGGTTTTCATGTTGTGCTAGCGTTGTCGAGAACACCTTCAGTGTCGTGTAGTCGACCGACGGTTGAGAGAACTTCGAGAAACTTTCTAGAGGGAATTTCTCAGGTGCTTCATCCCAACGTATACATGTCTTTCCCGCTGGAATACCTTATGGTTAGTGCACTAGTGGAACCATTATTATCATTATTATTATTATGTTGTTGGATTATTATTTTTACTTTTATTTTTATTTTTACTATTATCATATTAATCATTATTATTATATTATATATTGTTATTCATTAGCTATTATTATTAATATGGCATTTTAAAAACATGGATACTTAGCATAGATATGATAAATTAAAGGTTTTGTGCAAGTATCTTTCTCGTTCCTCCCTTTCTAGGACTGTCAAGAGTACGGGCTTGCTAGAGAGTTGGGAGGATTCCACCAGGGAGCCGTACTTGGTCGCTGGGGAGAAGGTCGTAATTGCTTTAGAAAAAATCCTTCCGATCAGCGAGGAAGTCTTTTCCGGCTGTTGACTCTCTCTTGGTTATTCTCAGTTCATGTTCGCTATATACCCCTTCCCGACCTTGCACAACCACCACGTGCAACTACTTCTCCCCGCCCCTTTCCCCTCCTTCGCTCGCAAAAGGGAGTTTTTGGGAAAAACCGGCAAAACATTGGAAAAAAATGGGAAAAAAGGTAAGCAATCGGTAAGGTTCAGGACGATGAGTAGGGAAAAGAGTCGTAGCACATCAGGAGCATTTTTTGGGGCAATGGGTGTGTCGTACTAACACCTTATCTCGCACATCACGATGCTGTATCCTGTCACCAAGGACATATTTGATAACAGTAATAACCTACTCGAAAGTCTGCGACTGCTTTCCGCGATACCATGCCATACGATCTTTTGATGGCCTGCACGTGAAACGGTGATCTTTTTCATAGATTTTGGTTGGGGTCAATTGCTTCAGTCCATTTTTCTCTCTAAAATAAGTCTACTGATAGAACCTGCTACAAAATTGGCATACTATTCAATCATTTCGAGCTCTACTGTAACAAAAGGTGTTCCCTCTTATGTTAAGAAGTAGACAGTTTGGGAGCCGTGTAAGAAAATGCAAGACAAAAAGGTAGTTAGGGAGGGGCAGGCGACGGCGCGTTTGGGCCACGTCACGTTTGATGCCAGGAGTAGTGAAGTAGCTCGAGGCAATGTCTTCCAAAAATCAATTTTGAATAGGAAAATAGGCGTATAGCGGACCCGTGCTGGCTCCACACCACAGGTGCTAAGTCCTTTATAGTTCTAATAAGAGGTTTCTAGCGCGCGAAATTTCTTGACCGTTTTTGACGCATTTTTTGACCGTTTTTTTGTTGTTTTGTTTTGTTTGTTTTCTTGTTTTTTGCTGGAAGAGCACTTCAGCACGTTAGTTGGCGGCCAGGTTGGCCGCACCACCAACATGGCGCTACATCTATGACAGGTGATAGTGGCTGGAATTCTAGCCGAAAAGTAGGTCTGTTTTCAACCGCGGATTTAAAACGAGGTGCTGTTGGGCCTAGTGAGGCATGTTGCACTTTAAAGGCAGTTGGCACGATGGTTTCCTACTTAGCCTAAAATTACTGGCCAGGGACGCTGGCATAGTGGGGAATGGCGAAAGAACGGAGTGAAACGGTCAAAATCCTGCGAAGAAAGAAGCCTCGTTCTCACTGCGTTAGTAATCAATTTTGGACGAGTTTCCCATAGGCATCTTGCCAATAACCGCTACCGAAGATACGGCTGCATATGTGTACCCATGTATGCATGCAGCATCACGGCCGCTTCATACCAATCCCTTCGCTTCATAATTTGCTTAGCAAATGAATGAATACGAGCGTCAGGAACGGTCGTCCATTTGTGGCGGGGCATTTGGGATCGTACCAACACACAAAAACAAAATGTTGTGGCTTGATAGGGCTCTTATAAGGGCACTTTCCTCGGGGAAGCCGCTACGCAGCGCCTGCTCAGGGTCACGGAATACTACCCTGCCATCAGTATTGATCCTAGTCGTCTTGAGGGATTTATCGTGCCTACTGCCTTTAACCAATTCGTTCTACTAAGTAATCTTGAGTAACATTTTGTCATTTGGTGAGACCTGAAAACTCTTCTTGAAGCTGCAAAATGTACAAATGAGGAATTCACAGGTTGGTTCTCCCAAGCTACAAGCGTACAAGCTTCGCCGAGTCTTATTTGGTGCCCCTACCAAGCCGAACAGCGCGCAAAAGAGATGCTGTAGACATGGAAGGGTAATAGAGAGTGGTGGAGATCGCCAGGCCCATTGGAAATCCTGGAAGGGAAAACGCCACTAGGCAAGTGTCCAGGCTTCAGAAGCAGCACTAGCAACAGCAACTGCAAGCAACCTAATATGCGAAATTTATTTTCCCCTCTCCCGGACGGCTCTGTGGTGAATACTTGTAGTGAAAGAAAGTTTGCGCTAGAAGTCCTGTAGCAGCACAAAGTAGGCTGACTTCGCTACTCGGTTTTTGGTTAACTGAAAATTCAGTTTAGCTCAAACTTACCTGAGGCATATACTGTGTTGAAATCTCTGTTCGAGATTCGGTGACAATATGTCATTATTCAGGCAGCCTTTTGTATCCATTATAGAAATATCTAGCTCATCTCGGCAACCGGCGTCGCAGTGGAACTGCGGTCCATTCAGTATCCATCCCTCATTCGCCTCCTTGGAACCTGTGAAGGTAAATTGGTAATGTATTTGCCCCAAGTGAATTGGAGTTTTAACGAAATCCGCTATGAAAATAATTTTTGAGTACCTTCCTTTTAAAGGTACTCCCCATGCTCCACGATTATCAGAGTGTTCTACGTCTAACCCTCTTTGCTGCCTTCAGAGACATACTGTACATTTACTTCACTAGATCTTCGCCCTCGCCGTGTTCGAGGTGAGCGAGTCTACAGTTGAGCAGCGTGCTACTTTCTCTGGTCAAAAGTGCACCGGAACGGTTGCTGGAGGGCAATGATTCCGGATGTGGTCTGCGTACTCCGCCCGCATTGCTGCACGGCCAGCCACAAGCCTAACCATGGCCGGCGAACCATTGCGACTGAAAGTGACTCTTTACACCCTCCCGTGCGTAGCGCGCATAGACTTCCCCGAGTGGAAGAACTGACGCGATAGCTCCGCAAGAAGCCATGAAGGGCAAAATCGTGGCGCGGGCGTGTGAGCGGCG